CCTGGGACCAGAGTGCTTTTTCTTAGGAAGACATTTGCTAATGGGTCCCCAAGACTGCAGAGAGAGGAGAGTTGAACTGAAGAAAACCCTGGAGTAGTGATGAGAGCATGGGAATGGCAGGGGAGGCATTGGTGTGAGTAATGAGTGGTAGCTGGGGACCCACAGGAGCCCAGACACAGGGGGTTGTCTCCACAATTGCTTCTTGGGAAGATGTGTAAACCCACGCTCCGGGGACCTCACCGGGAACCAGCACCACTCCATGCCAGAAGGTTCTCTGTGGTTTAGCAAAGCCACAATCGTTGGATGCCAGGAGCAAACCTGCCACAAACTGCTATTCCCTCATACCAATTCCTGATATTAATTGGAATGTCACTTTGAACAACACATCACCATATGAGTTTTTGTTTCTTTAAAATTTGATAGCATGAAAAAAGAGATTGCTGCCCCCAGAATGTTTTATAAAGACATGGAAATGTACAGATTATTTTATAATAATAAAGAAATCATCACCACGTTATTAGGTTAACCTATTGCTTACTGAATACTTCAAATATTTCAAACATTGTTTCAAATATTTTATTTGCATTATCCTAACACGTAACAAAAAATATACTGTCGGGTGGAACTTGAAATAATTTGATAAGTTTTGTTTTTTTTTTGAGTTGGAGTCTCACTCACTTGCCCAGACTGGAGTACAGTGGCCGCTGCTGGCCACTGCGGCCTCAACCTGCTGGGCTCCAGCGATCCTTCTGCCTCAGCCTTCCAAGTAGCTGAAACTACAGGTGCGCACTACCACACCCGGCTCATTTTTTTGATTTATTGTAGAGATGAGGTCTCGCTGCCCAGGTGGGTCTTGAACCCGCGGGCTCAGGCAATCCACTCACCTCAGCCTCTCCAGGCACAGGATTACAGGCTGAGCCACCGAGCCTGGCTGCTACTATTATTTCTTTGTGACTTTTTTTTTGAGTCGGAGTCTCACTGTCAACCAGGCTGGAGGGCAGTGACACACTCATGGCCACCACAGCCTTGACCTGCTGGGCTCAGGCAATTCCTCTGCTCCAGCCTTCCAAGTAGCTGGAACTACAGGCATGCACCACCATGCCTGGCTAATTTTTTTTATTTAATTGCAGAGACGAGGTCTCGCTAGTTGCCCAGGCTACTCTCAAACACCTGGACTCAGGCAATCCTCTCACCTCCGTCTCCCAAATTGCTAGGATTACAGGTGTGAGCCACCACGCCCAGTATTCTCCATAACTCTTAATCTCTCATTTATAGTTTCCTTCTTGTCTCTGTATTCTGGGTAATTTCTGCAGATCTACTTTCCAGCTAATTCTCCCTTCAGTAATATCCAACTTTCTGCTGAATAATATATCCATGGAGTTTTTTTATTTCCAACAATTAAAAAAAATTTTTTATTATAAAGATGTGGGGTGCAATTCAGGGTTAGGTATACAAACATTGATTGTGCAGGTACCCTTGTTGATGAGGTATGAATTTTTCTTTTAAAGTAGGAGTCTCACTCTGTTGCCCAGGCTGGAGTGCAGCAGCACACTCACGGTCGCCACAGCCTCGATTTGCTGGACTCAGGTGATCCTTCCGCCTCAGCCTTCCAAGTAGCTGGGACTACAGACGCACACCACCATGCCCGGCTAATTTTTTGATTTATCGTTGAGACCAGGTCTTGCCAAGTGGCCCAGCTGGTCTCGAACCCCTGGGTTCAGGCAGTCCTTTCGCCTCTGCCTCCCAAAGTGCTGGGATGACAGGCGTGCGCCACTGAGCCTGGCCTAGTATTTTCAATATTGTGTTTGGCCCTAGCAATATCAGACATACCCAAGAGTCCAGCCTGTCCTTGCTTCTCTGATGTGAGCACAGTGATTCATTTCTTTATATGTTTGGTGATCTTCGTGAGGTCTTTTCGTTTCATGTATCTATAGACAAATGGAGGGTCTAACCCGAGCATGCTTTTCTTGGAGAGGATTTGCACCACCAGCTGGGCCTGCTTTTGGTCCCACCATGGTCCCCAGCTCCATGTGGGCAGCCCCTTGTCTCCTCCTGATCACAGCATGCACTGCTTGGGGCTGGGTCCTTCAGAGCCCTCCCCTCCTGTGAACTAGCTCAAGGTCCGACTGATTCTTTCCACCCAGGGCTCCCCCAGGTGTGGCCCCAACCTGCCTGGCTTTGAGTTTTGAAGCCAGTCCATAAACCCCACTCTGCCTCCTCTTCAGGATTGTCCCGGGGATCACAGACGAGGACTGATGCAGAGCAGGAGCTCAATGCCTGTCTGCTTGAGTGCTCCCCGTGTGCCCCGGGCACCAAGGGTTCAGTCTTCCTGTGCAGCGGGTCACCTCCCGTCTCTACCCCTACAGAGAGGCCCAAAGTCCAACAGCCCAATGCAGATGCTTTATTGTTCTGTTTAAGAACATGACCCACAGGCCCCGGGACCGAGTGACGCTGAGAGCTGGAAAGGGTGAGGTCGGTGGCTCTGGCATGGGGCGAGTGGCCAGTCTCAGGCTCTTGCGGGGCTGGGCCTGACTTCTGGCAAGGGGCTGCTCTTCTGGCCTGCAGCTTCTCGAGGCCAGGCCCTGCCTGAGGCGAGGCCCGCAGAGGGAAGCCTGCGCAGAAGAAAGACGTGGCCACTGGCTATCCCTGAGGGCGCAGCAAGCAGCTTCGGGTTTGGCCAGGGCGGGCGGGGGCTGAGGGCCTCACAGTGCCCTCTCCACAGCTCCGGCGGCCCGCCCCCTCGCCCAGCTGCTGCTCACCTGCCACTGTGCTCCCACCTGTCACCCTCCTGAGAGAACCTCTGAAGGCAAGAAGGAAGAAGCTGCAGCTTCTCCCTTCTCAGCCAAGTGGCAGGAGCTGCCGTGCTTGCCCACTAGGAGGCACCTGGTGAGCGTTAGGAACTAATCTGGCCGGAAACCCTGTCTGAGTTCACGGCATCCGTCCGACCCCCAGCCCAGCTCTGTGCAAGCCGAGTCCAAAGCTGGCAAGGAGAGCCAGCCCGGCTCGGGCGGGTTCCCAGTGCTGCCTCTCCCGGCGAGACCCCACTACCCCAGGCCTTGAGGCAGTGGGCGGGGCACCTAGCTCCTGGGCTGCAGGTGCTGGTGGAGCTGCTCGGCCTGCGTCTTCAGGCGCTGGAATTCCTCCTGGATGAAGTCGGTCAGGGCTTTGCGCATCTCCACCTAAGAGAAAGGACCTGGGCTGGCCTGCATCCCCGGGAGCTTGGCCAG